ACTTTCCTCCTGTCCCACTATCATGCTCAGTCCCCACCAGGGTTTCAGCAATTCTCCTATTATATTACCCTTGATCATGCCCTACCAAGACTCCCACACCTTCCTCACCACCAATTTGGATTGCTTGTTGTTCCCTTGTCCCTGGGTTTGTTAAAACCACTTCCTTTCCCCCTCCTCCCCCTCTCCCAGGTCCCCCCGGAACTGTCAGTCCCGTTGTTACCTCCTCCAGATTGTTCATCCAGCCTGTCTTATTTAGACAGACCTGGTCAAGAATATTTTAATACCTACCTGTACAGACATTAAATAAAGCTGCAGAAAATGCCTTCAGAGATTTAAGGGATTGAATATCCATCTTTTTCTTTTAAATATCAGAGTGAGTTTTGTTAATGTTCTTTGTGTGTGTGTGTGTGTGTGTGTGTGTGTGTGTGTGTGTGTGTTGGTGTTAGAATTTTTTCTTTACACATTTTCCCATCTAATTAATTAGTCATCATTTAATACCCATCGGTTCATTGAGTCCAAGATGACAATAAGACATGTTAAATCCCCACAGTAGAATAGTTGGATCTAGATAACCACTCCCATTTTTGTATGTAAGTGCACACCCAGGCTGAGTCCTGCTCCGTACCTCAGCCTGGACTCCACGGGGTCCTGGGGAGGACTCTGTCTCTGTCCTCTGTTCTTATCCTGGGGAGCGTCTGGAGTAGTATCGGTATTGACTGGCCTCTAGAAATTTAAAAATATATATATTTTTAATTTAAAAAGCAGAAACTGATACACCTGAGCAAAATGAGAATTCATTTAACACTGGAGAGAATGCAAAACCTGGAAGTATAGTCCCACTTCCAATTTGCCTCAGTTCAGATTTAGAAGGTAAGAATCCTCTTTAAAGTAGACTCATTCTCTATACATAAGTAAACTCTTGCTTTCATTAGATTTTATCCCAGTCTCATCCTTGAACCTCTCCTTAGATGTTGAAAGGCTTTCCATCAAAGTCTGCTTCCCTCTAGTGGAGGTTCATGGAATTCTGGGAGCCACCCTGACCCTTCCCTTGCTCAACAGTCCCTCTCAAGCCACCCCCTCCTCTTCCTTGTAAATTCAATTTGTTCATCCTCAGTCTCCTCCAGTCTCCACAGGGCGCTCCGAGCCAGTGTTATCAGGAGCACTGGTCCATTTCCTTTCTCACACTGCCTGACAGCCTCGGTCTTCCCGGTTGGCCACTCACCATCAGACCGCTCTCTCACTCCTCACTTGCTGATCTCTTCTAACCCCTCCTCTTCATGATTTTCTGATTCCCACAACTCAATTACTGCTATCATCTTCTCTCGTTTTTTCTCCCATCATATCGAATTCATCTTCCGTTTGAACTCTTCGATGTTACGTGTTACACCTTCTCACTTGCACTGCATTTCCTAACACTTTCCCCAGCCTTTCAGCTTCTTACCCTCTGCAGCTCGTGAACCTGTTTCTCCAGAAC